AAGAGTGTTACAGGAAGATGATCCTTCAGTGTCAGGTCTTGAGAGAAGTATTGGACTATAGGTGAAAAAGCCACTAGTAAGAGTGGCAGAATCATGTAATTAGGAATTTCCTCTTATTTTATATTCCCCAAGGAAAAAATTGGGCAGTAACCACGTTTTCATAACTTCTTCAGGAATTACTTATTTCTCACATGCCTCTAGACAGAAGTCGTAATTTTCATACAACCTGATGTGCAGCTAGTTTTTTTAAAAACACAAAATTAAAACAGAATAACTTGCTTACTTCATCCCATTCTAAAAGGTAAGTGTGGATTTTAGAACCGTTATCACAAGACGCCTGCAACAGGAAAAGAAGGAAATCAGAGCTCTAAAAAATGTATGTATGGGTCAAATCATGACAAGACCAGTGAAGGGCAAATGATGCTTCCCTTACACGACTGTTTCACTTGCCTAGGCAGTCCTAATTCAGTCTCCATCCAATGACTGCTTCTATCATGTTTTTGGTTTTGTTTTGTAATTTAGACCTTGAAAAAGTATTCTGGCAGCATTGTCAAATGCTACAGAATTTTTCTGAGACACTAGACTGCAAGTCTGCTTAAATATCAGTCTTCCCAGACCACTTCATTTGATTTGCACAAATAGGCTGATGTTCCGTCCAGAGAACGGAATTGGTTCCATGGAACAGTAGAGGACTGGAACTCAAACCAGTATCTCTCATTACAGCTCAGTAACTTTATCTACAAAATCTTACTTTCCTGGGAATCTCTTTTCACTGAAGTACACATTTAACCCAGTACACATATTGTACTGTTCAGTCATGGAACTGTGGCTGAAACTAGTATGTTTGACAAAAAATTTCTGCTTCAGTGAACTGGCATTTTACTGACAATTCTGAAGAGTTTAAAATACTTATTTTAAAAGGTTTTAAAATAATTCTTACCTTCCACTGCAAAGTAAGAGAATTTTTGGTCCGATTAGTTATCCTGGGTAGATTTGGAGTATCAGGTTCACAACTCATTGTGGTAAAACTCTCTGCTTCTGAAGGGCTCCCCTTTACACAATTGCATTCTACTTGGACTCTAAGCGGAAAAGAGCCAAAAACATTTTGCTTCAAAATCACGTACATGCAGTTTCCAAAGAAATCTGAGGATTCGGAACTAAGTTACTGCCTTGCTATCTCATTATTAAAATGTTACTGTTATAAAAAAATCATTAGTGGAAGCATCTAGGTCAATAGAAGTAATGCAAATGAAAAGAGCCCTCTACTTTGGATGTACATCATTGCTATCAGTCAGCTTTAGGCTGACAATTACATCTGAAATATGTCTTATTTGCTGTACTTTGGTTGGGAAATAATGGTAACATCTCGCAGGCTCATTATCTGTTGTAGGCATATTAGTTGATATTATGAATAATTCTTGTTCTGCAAATGCTTTTGTCAGATGAGCACAATGAAGCAGTTGATATATTTTCAGAGTACCTTCTGTACTCCTTCAAGACCTTGTTGAGTGAGTTCACCCTGTCCTTTCCTTTAGGAAGGCTATGAATTAACTCTCATGTTCTTCAGAACAGGGAATTCTTGCTTCTATCTCAAAATGGTTTGTTTTTTCTAATAGCTTTTCTCCAAAATTAAATACAGGATTATTATCTGGTCTCCCCCCGACTCCCCTCAGCTGTGTAGCTATGCTGTGTCTCCTTCTTGGGTGAACCTGCACACTACTTTCTTCTGATTCACAGGTTCCTTTGAAAGAAAAAACAAAACCCCAAAAACCCCTTTCTTCTGAGCACCGGTATAAGATCTGGGTTGCCTGCTTATGAAGATGCAAAAAACCTTATATGTTCTTGTTGCATGAACAGCAAGTCACAGGCAATTTGTCTTTGTAGATTTCATGAATAAGAAGAGGGAGACATTTGAACAGTGACTGATGTTGCAAACAAAGTTCTTTGTGCTTGCCTACAGCTGCAAATATTTAATTTGTCAGTTATCTTCATAGTTCAGTCTTTTTGGTCTTCACTGATTTTGGACAGTGTTCACACTGTCAGAATTCTGTTTAATTCCTAGATCAGGACAGCTCAGGTGGCGAAGTCATCTACCCCCATGCATTCTCTACAACAACCAGAATTAAGCAAGAAGGAATCTGAATGTAGCCTAATAAAAAAAGACTTACATAGGAAAAAAAAATTCCTAGGCTTTCAACCTTATGCTGCATGCATTTTCAAGTTAAACATTGTTGGGTAAAGTGCATAAATGCTACCAAAAATAGAAATCACAGGGCAACAGTTGCATATGAAGAACTTTGAGTGAATTTATTATTCATCCTTCTCCTGAACCTGTGCTGCAGGCCATAAAATGGCCTAAATTAAATGAGATGTGTGATGAAGAACAGACCAACCCTCTTTTGCTTCTGGTTTGTCAACCAGGACAATATCCTGGAACACAGCACTAGGAGGTACAGAACCCCTCACATGGAGGGCCAGGAATGTAGCTCTCCCATATGAGCAAGTGCTAATCAACAGACTTAAATGGCAGAAACCCTCCTCCTCCCTACTACTGACGTTCTAAAGCTCACATGGAAAGAGGCACAACATTTCTGACTCTGTTCCCTACTCAGACACACTTCTGCTTCCTGTGCTTCCTACCAGCTGCCTCTAAACTGGTTCCCTGGTCAGTACATGGGAGTCTTGGGATTCCTCACACAGTCAGAGGCAAATCCCTCAACATGCTGCACATTCAGCCACTCCTACCACTCGCAATTATTTCTTGAAAAGGCAGTACTTTTAAGGTGGCCTTCGCTTCTGCCTTTACAATGTTATGTATTTATAAACTGCTGTATTCATAGGTTTTTTTTTTAAACCAAGAAATAAGACAAGCCTCCAATATGTAAAAAAAAAGAGGGAAGAACACCTAACTACATCTTTCCAATCCTATGCTATTTCTTCAATAGGACATAGTGAAGTAGCAAATTCTGCTAGAAGGGTAGAATTATATTGAGCTAGGGGCATATTTAGTAAAGCATATGGGGTCAGATTCACTTGTTTGCTGGAGCAAAATGAAAGCAGCATAACCTGAGCTTCAGGTGGCCAGCAGCAAGCATGTTCTTGTGTAAGTGCCTCCCTCTGCTGCTTCTGGGAAACAAAGAAAGCAAGCAGCTGAGCTGTTCCTGGTTCAAAGGACAGAAAAGTGTCACTGTTCTGGCATGACATGAAAAGTAAAGAGCATGGATGTTGGATGAGGGTGCAACAATCTTCTGTTTTCCAAAATGGACTGAATGGTCAGCTAAGACAAAAAGGTTAATTTGTGACTCAAAGAAGGGTGAGATGTGGTAAAGAATCTCTGAAGACTAATGCAAATACACAGATACAATGAAACTTTTAAAATGTTTCCACCAAATTTAATGAATGGAGCCGGAGATACTCACTTTGCATGGTAATCAGTTGCTGGCCTGAGATCATTCACAGTAAGTTTATTTTCTTCTCCACTGGAAAGAGATAAGATTTTTTTAAGACATCGTTTCAGAATCCCATGCATTTTATAAAAAGACACACATCATCGAACCCATCCACCTAACACTCCTGAGAAATATATTTGTTAACAGTTTGTTTCTGCTGCTAAATATAGTAAAATTAAAATGTGTTTATATTTGAATTGCAGGGATTTCTCGCATTTGATTCCTGTCATTTTGCCCTACTGTTTAGGGTTGTTTTTGTTCTGTTTGGGTTTTTTAAAGAATAACTCTTTTCCTCTTTACTCAGTAAGATTAGCTGCATGTGTACACATATATTTTATTACACAAACAACACTGAAGTACTGGGGCCTTTAGAAGCTCAGTTCAGTCTTGCAAAAATGATTTTCTAAAACTGTAAATCACTGTATATACCTACTTGTTAGATCCCAGTAAACAGAAAAGGCACCTCAGTGACATCTATTAGTCTGCTTTTACTGACATCAGCTTATGTTAGCAAAGCTCATTTCTTTTTCTCTAGCTTCCAGGACAGGGATATTCAACTTGTGATTTATGTATTGCTCCTAAGGAATCCGTGGAAGGTGACTAGGATGAATTAGCTAAATACAAAGATTTATAATTATTAGAGAGCTCTACACCCTTAATGGTAAGTTTTAATGCTATATTTCTCCAAGTTGCAAAAAGACTGACTGAAAACCCTTGTGCTAGGAATGAAACAACTGAACAGTTTTGTTTGTTTTGCTGCTGCTAGATTTGTGTTCTGTGTGATTCTACTTACTTTATTTAATATGATAAGACGGTCTCCTATGAAGGGGATTTTCAGGGAAGGGAGGGTTAATCTTACTGGGAGAAGCAGCATGTGCTGAAGTAAATAACTAGAAATACAACTGGCATTTCTCACTACTGGTACACCTCACTACTTGAGAATCCATAGTTTCCAGTGCAGCTAGTTGAAATACAGCTAAGTGGTATTAAAACATGCTTCCAACATCCAAGAACAGAGTCTTTAAATTATAACTGATGGTAGAGACTTCAGTAATAAAGCAGAACCAATTCTCCTGAAAAGCAGTTTGTTTCACAAGAGAAGTTCCACAAAACTACTAATTATTTAAATCTCCAGACAACAGGCAGGATTTTTATGAGGTTTTAAGCCACATAATTAAATGCAACAGCAATTAAATAAAAATAACGAACACCTACACGTATATAGTTTTGTACTTTCCATCTTTTCCAGTATTTGAAATCATCACTTCATAAGTATAAACCTCTGGTATATCATTCTTGTCAGTGTCTTCTTGGGTATTACTGGATGGAGGGGACCACATAAGTAGTGCTGTTCTTGCCTGAATGTCTGACACCTGTAAAAATACAGCTTTTGAGACCTCTGTAATTGAAATGCGATTGTATACAAACGATGCTTTGCCAAGCAGGAACAAATGAAAGAGAAGAAAAACATGCACCATTAGCACATGAGAGTATTAATACTGATATAATAGCTACTAATTAGTTTTTACAGATGAAATCAAGCTGGAAAACGGCAATCCTAAGGCACAAGGCTGACTGCAAAGACACTTCTAGGTAACGAATGCCACCTAGTGGGCTACATAAAAATGAACAGTAACATTTGTGAAGCAGAAGAGATCGCAAGCATATATTGTGAAATCAGTCATTTTGTCAAATGCCAATGTTGCAGGCCTTTTTTCTTTGGCATTATGATTTCTTTAATACTCCTTTGCCAACTCCGTTTCCATATGAGATATATGGAAGCTCAGGAATTTCTCAAGAATGACTAACATTACTGTCATATGTACATAGAAACTTTGCTTTGGGCATTTAACTACTATTGTGACAAAAAGACTCTCCCATTATATTAGAGCCTATTTGGTTAACTAACCCAGCAATTTTTTTTTTTTATCAGGATATTCATTGGGATACAACCACCTGAGGCTCTAATCTAGCACTCTGTTAGCAAACAGAACATATAATGTCCTTTGAGCTCAGTTGTTTGCGATGAAGGCATGCTCACAAGGTCCATGTACATATATCTATATATATGGTCAACGTGCTGAAGAATTCCCATAGTCGTGCTTGTATGCACAGCCAACCCTTTGCAGAAAGGTCTGGGTAACAACAGTTGGTGTTATAGAAATCTGAGCATAAACAGTGCGTGTCAACGCAACACCTCCAACTGTCTGAGAAGCGTTTGCTCCAACAGGCTCATTGTGCTAAAGGTGGCAACCCTTGGGTGGATTAAACTGTAACCAGGGAATCACAAAGAGACTTCTGAAACAAAGAAAGAATCAGCTTCAGAAGTATAAAAGCAGCATGAAAATTCGTAATAGGGATAAAAGATGCTGGAGTGGAATATAGGAAACATCAAAACATTGCCTGACAGTGCAAGAAATAGCCCTGCCACCACTGCTACCTCCATTCAGACCTGACAGATGCTGTGAGTAGCTGCACCCCAGCTAGTGCGGCAGCCCTTTAGGATGCAGCAGGCAGGGACCCACAGCTCGGGTGGGTGGATGTTACCGGGTGGGGAGCCTTCTCAGTGGCCTGTGGATTAGCAGATTGTAGGGAACAATAGATTTTAGGGAATAACACAGTTACACGCAAAGCTAAAGCACTCACATCTCCTAAAGGAGACATGCAGTGAGAGCTACCTACACTCTCAGAAGAATAGGTGCTGCTTGAAACCCACATGCACTGCAAGGGCTGGGGATGCTCCTATTTCTGTAGGTGAGTGTACGGGTGTGTGCATGTGATTACAAATTTTTAGGATTTGTTATAGAAGGAAGTCTAGAAGTTTGTGGGTGCTTATTAATATTGCACGTCTGCTATTGTGGTTTAGATGTTGCACGTGCCTACTATTTCAAATCATTTCATAAGACAACTGAAAACACATTTAATTATATGAAATGACTATTTTTACAATATATCTATTTTTGGAACAATTGCTTTTGAAAATATCTATTACAACAGTATGAGAATAAAAATGCTATCTTTACAACTGGTGCTCTTAAATTGCTAAAATCTACTGAACTAAAAAGCTGAATGGGTCACCTTCAAGAATGAAGCAGAGAGAAGATGACTTGCTGAAAACAGACAAACAGAAAGGAGGAAAAATAAAACAAAATGAGCCTCAATGTCTTGGAAAGAATGTCACTAAACCTTTATATGCTAACAGAACTGTACATCACATCCTGAAAGGGATCAAATGCTAGTAAGATTACCCACTGAAGTTCTTGGAAATACATTTCAAAGTTCGGTAAGAGAAATTCTGGTATAATCTTTACGTGGTCACAAACTACACTAACACTAATTACAACCACCTCAGTACCAATCTAGCATTTCTGGAAGTCTTCAGAGGTGTGGGAAGCATCTGGGGTGGTAAAAGCTCCCTCTCAATCTCAATCCTTCTCCCCTGGTTTGCAGAAGGCAGCTGGGAAGGTATGTAGTTTCCTAGAGGACCTACTATGCTCCAGGATGAGCAGGTCCACTGTAAGATGATCTATTCCTATGTTTAGTTACCTTAACAGCTAATTTTTTTTTCCTAATGTCCAGACAGTATCTCTCTTACTACCAGCTAAGCCTACTAGTCCTAGCCACTATAGAGTTGAACATTAGATCTCCTCTTTCTGCAGTTTTTTCTTATGTATCTGAAGACTGTTAGCATTTGTGTCTCACCTCATTTATCTAAATCTCACTTATCTAAACCTCTGATCATTCTCACTGTTCTTATCTCCTGCTGTTTCATTATTTTTAGTGCTTTGCCCAGCACTGCACAAAACATGCCATCTAGCACTTCACTAATGCCAAACTACCTTATGCGCTTGACAGATTACATTTTTCTTCATACATTTTAGCCTGTCTGTCTTCCTTTACACTGGAGAAGTAATGCAACTGGCATGAAAGGTGGCATTACATCTTATTGGAACTTTTAAATTAGAGGTTTCAACTGTTCAGTACAGAGAGAGCAGGAGGGGTGGGAGGGAGATCAAAGACAACATTACAGACTAGAGAGTAACAGACAACTCACAGGACTTTGACCAGTAAAATTAAACCCCGAGTATTAGTGGAAATCATTATATACCAACAAGTGAAGACAGAACAGGGTGAAATGTTCTTTAAGTCCCTGACTGGACAAAAAATTTTTATCCCAAGTTACTCCCGCAGGGGCAATGTTTGTTAGTCAACTCATGTAAACCCTCCATAAGACTTCTAAAATAACAGATGACAACTGTTAACACAGTAACACAATGACGCAGTATTATGTACTAAGCTAAAAACCAGTGACTAGGCAGGTTGTTCTGGCTGTTTTACTTTGTGCAAACAGAGTATGTGACTAAAGAATATTATGGAGCTTTGAAGCTTTGCCATGGTCAATTTGCCAAAGCCTAAAAGCAACAGCCAGTGAAACTGAACATGATCAGAAATGCAAACTGAAAAGCATTCACAGAAGCCAGGAATTAAGGACATCCTTATGGTGCATAGAAAGTGTTAATGTATAAAAAAAATCAAACAAGATTAACTATGTGTTTATGTACAAAAACTACATACATTCTCTATACATATACATGCACCATATGCATATGGCTAAAAGGAGCAAATAAGCTACAATTGTCCAGAATTTACAAGAAAAGTTAAAAGAATCAATGAAACAAAAACAGGTATCAGGATTAAAGACAAAAAGATTTATTACAAAAAAAAAAATAAATCTATCAGGAAATCTCTAGCCCGCAGCAAAGTCACTGGGCCCAGTAGATGGTGCCCAGTGAAACTGACTGGTCTGCAATAAACCAGGTGTTCTGGTTAAACTGCTGGTTCCTCATCAGTGATGCACACTCACACTAAACTAAGGAACAGCAAGAAGCCAAGCCTAAACTAGTGAGCCTTGCTGAGGAGCACCAGGGAGTGAACTACTTATGGAACAAGTCTTAAGAGGCAGGTACCTGAGAGCCTACGAGAAGGTGCTCAAGGGCAGAAGGAACAGAACAAGAGATACAACACTTAACTCTTTGGCAAGGAAAAATACTGGAAATAATTTCCAACCCTGTCCCTCATACAGCTGAATTCCGCTAAAGCTGCCACCTTCTTTGTTTCTGCAGCCCTAGAGAACAGGCCTGGGGGTCTGTGGGGTCCCCAAAAATACGGTTTGTGCGTGAGGGGTCAGTAATCAGACAAAAAGAAGAGAGGCAGCAGGACTGGGACTGAGTAACATCAAGGTTTTTTTTCCGGACTTACACTCTATATGATGTTACATATTTTGTAACTCATTTATAAAACATTTGGTACTGCTTTTCAGATTCAGATTCCAGCTAAAAGAATTATTCCAAAAGACAAGTCTAGGTCCACCTATATTCCTCCTCACAAGACTATTAGTAAGGGACAAAAGCAAAGCATGGAAAGATTAAGAATTGCTAAAGTGAAGATTTCCTACAAAAAACTTTTATCTGTTGTATGTATGCACTATGGCAGTCTTAGATCACACCAGCACATTATTTCAACACAAAACTTCAGCTTCACATGATGCAAGCACATGACAGTAATTACTAACTGCTTCAATAACAAGCAATTTTTCAATACTGTCCTTTATCCTTGATGGTCAATAATATGCAAATACTTGACTTTTTGGAGACTAGCCAGAGCTCTACTATGGAAAAGAATTACTGAAGTTTCAGAAATTCCCATCAGTTCTCAAGCACAAAACACTAGTGTATTTTCAAAAAATCTCTGTGATATAAGGAGGAAAAAACTATTTTTGAAGAATAAAGATTAAGATCAGAAGAATCCACTATTCTTAGGTGGTCTGAGACATTCAGGAGTGGCTTTTTCAGAAAACTTGGTGTTACTTATCGCTTTGCATGCTTATTCATACGGCTGGAATTGATTTTGGTTGCAGCTCCGAGCACTGTGTGCTTCTGCAGAGCAGAGTACAATACTTGAGTCAGGCCCTAACACTGACCAAACTAAGAGGTGGACTGCTAATGGAGATGTGCCTAACTTGCAAAAGTGAATCTCCTCATTAACTACACTACACATGCCATTTGGGTCAAAAAAAGAGAACAGTTTTAGCATGTGCAAACTGGATTGCATTCACAGTGACACAAGGTACTTAACGAGCAAGCAAGGTGCATCACATTCTAAAAGCCTGCATGCATGAACCACAAAACATGATACTCTACTCTCCCAAGGGATTTACTTGTTATACAACCAACCCTGAAATTGAGTTCCTATTGCATCTCCTTATTAAATATTCAGCCATCTGCTCCACTCTTCATTTTGCTTTTGTCTTTTCAGGTCCCCCTACCTTCTCTTCTGCTTGCTTTGCTGTTTGGTTAATGCACATGACAGCTAGTGCAGACTCTGCTCAGATGCAGAGCACTCAGCATGGTGCAACCTGCAGAACCACTCCAACTTACATCTGGGTATAGGAAGTTCAAGACTTCCCTAAGCAGAAGGGTCATCTGGTGGCAGTACCACTTTACCAACTTGACTAACACTGCCATGTATGAAAAGACTGGAAATCCACACAAGGAAAAGTTTAAGAAAATGACAACTTGTTCATAAAAACACTTAGAGGGAGTCTGGAGGCAGCAAAGCTGATGTGCCCCACACTGTGCAGAACCGAGAGAGATGTGGGAATGAAAGCACACCATGGAGCCCATCAGCTCATTTAGATGTGCCCACCCTAGACCTGGGCATGAAGACATAGGCCAGCCCAGGACAGGTCACAGCCTTCAGCACTACTCTGGGCTTTCTGGAGCAGGATATGGTGCAATGGACACTGTACTGGACAGCGTCTGTATGATCATCTGACCATATGACTACAACCACAATCAGTACCTAGTAGTGCCTGTGCCAGCACTCAAGTTTAACCAGGGGACAGTGTGTTGATGATCCACCAAGGAGAGCATCATGGCACAATCCCCACAGTGAATGCTTCAAGCAAAACATTAATCAAAAACCTGCAGGAATATTTCTGATGAGAACCACAAACAGAGCGTGTGGAAAAAACACAATCTCCTGGTTCACTTGTGGTACGGTGAGAAAAACGTTTTGTTGGAGAAACTGTGGGAAGGTTGCTTCTGATCCTGCAAGGCCTAAGTAGGTAACACAGCCTCCCTTTACCTTATCACATCACACTTCCCCAAGCTGAAACATCAGCTAGTCTTCTATCCACCCACACCTGACAGTCCCTTGCCTTTGCAAAGCATAAGACTCTCCAAGTACTGTAAATTCGGCTTTTTGCTGTGTGTACGCTGTCTAGTCTGTAGCAGACTACGACCGCCTAAGCCTGTGATGTCTTCTGAGGTCTGCAAAGAGATTGCTCATAGGCACACAGCTACACGCAATGATGTTCAAGTAAGGACGTGGTGAGGAAGGGAAATAGCACGCTTGCCTAAAAGGCACAAACACTTCAGTGTTAAGGGTGCAAGTGAAGGAAAACAAGGCAGTAGTACTGGCACTCCATGTCTTTTTCATACGTCATTAGCAACATAGCAGAAGACACCACCTGTTGATCATACCTCTCACAGTCTCACTCTAACCACCCCAGGAAGCTCAGAGCTGTCACTCCCCTTGGCAATGCAGCCACTGATGACACTCCAAACTTGGATGGCATCCTTTATGCCATGACGACTGGCAGAGCACTGCACACACATCTTCTAGACAACTGGTCCCTGTACTTCTAGTCAGGATAGAAAGGATCATCTATGTTCTCATGAAGTTAAGAAGTGCATAGCAGGCACTCATGATTTGAGGGCCACTGAGAATGCTATTGTTCAGTGCAGAGCACTACACTGCACTAAGCTAACCTTGCAGCAAAATTTGTTTCTACATCCATTCTAATGCAGTATGTGGCTAAACTAGGCATATGTTCCCTTGTTGGGACAGATACTCATGGCTAAGAGTCAAAAGGGTCAAAGACACGAGTCCCTTTAGCTATACAGCTCTGACCCATTTGCAAAGCAGGTATGTTTTGTACCGTGAATGGCAGGGAGCACACAGTAAAAAAAGCATTTCCTGATGTTCAGAGGAAACCTCCTATGTTTCAGTTTGTACCCACTGCCTCTAGTCCCGACACTGGGCACCCTGAAAAGAGCCTGACTCCATCCTCTTCGCACTTGCCCTGCAGATATCTATATACATTGATAAGATCCCCACTGAGTCTTCTCTTCTCCAGGCTGAACAGTCCCAGCTCTCTCAGCCTCTCCTCACCAGGCTGTAAAGCAACATACGAAAGAATAATCAAGACTGGGGCACTAAAACCAGGGCCAGGTTGCTGGGGAGGTGAAGGGGAGAAGGTATGTAGCTCATGAATGGCAATGTTGGAAGTCCAACGATGATTCCATCTGACCCTTTTTCCTTCTTCATCTTCTCTCCCCTGTATGTCCCTCCTTCCACAGGAGTTTCCTCTTCCTAGTTATGTGTGAAGTGTGAAGTTTTCAAAAATGAAAATCTAATTTTTGGTGGAGTTTGGTGAAGTTTCCAAAATCTCACCAGGTATCTCTCATGCCTACAGATACCTAATGTGTAAAACTGTTTCCTGAACAGTTAAAACTAACAATAGTACAGGAAACGGAGAACAGATTTTACAGCAAGAGATAATGTTAAGTATCATCATCATGTTACTGGCAATGTTAAAAGCTCTCTCTCTCTTTTTTTACAAATCTGTTAATACTGAGATTTCACAGAGTGACCATGAAGAATAATTCCACATAATAAGCACTGAGACAATTTTAACTTTGCAAATGCTAATATACTAAAAATTACTTTGGTCATTTACATTTCAGTGACTGGACGTTAAGGGAGTTTTCCTCAGTGTGGGAAGTTAAAGATCCTTTAAACTTGGAGAGCGAGAAAGACGTGTAACTGTATAAAGCAGCAACATTCTGATTTTATGGAAAGTTTTATTTACTTACCACTGGCTTGGCTATATTGGAAAGAAGTGCTTCAAGTGCTTTTGTTTCTTCATCCTTTTCTTAAAAAATAAAATCAAAGCAAACAAAAAGTACCCATGAGTATCATTCAGTGACTTTACAGTGAAATAGCTCTTCAAATTCAACAACTGTGCACAGACTGAAGTATGTATAAGCTAGAACACCTTGCCAACTTGCATTCATCTAGAGCAACATAAAAGTCTCACAAAGAAGTTGTTCACATAAAATGATTTCTAAATCTGTTCTATGATTTAATGGAAGACAAAAAGCCTAGTTATCTTTTATGAATGTATAACTTTAAACAAGCTACTACGCTGGAGAACTTGAGCTCTTGGCTGAGATATTTCCTGTAGATTTCTCTTTGGCTGTACATGTAGTCAAGTTACAGTACTTTAAGTTACTGCACATCATGTGGAGGACTACTGGTAACAGTTTGCCTCTTTCGATCGCAAGGGCAAACCTTAGCTCAGCCTTCACTTACATCTCAGGAAAAAAAAATCTAAGGTATTTTGTTTCAGCTGAAGGTACAGCTGAGCTTTATAGAGGACTCAGTATTTACAGGAAGTGTTTTACGTGCCTTCTCTCACGCAAAATTAACATTTTATTATCTGAACAGTGTAAGCGAACAGGCTACCCAGTTTTGAAAATGTCACCAGGCATTTTGAATTCACTTAACCTGTCTTAAACTAAAATGAAAAATAAAAGAAAAACAAAGCCTGAAAAAATTCTTAAAAAAACTACATCAAGTCTATTTTTCAACTGTGTATTTCTAGGTTTATAACTAATCAAATGCGCTCCTGACTTCTTAGTTATTGAAAGTCTAAGTCACAGTAAAAAATTATCCAAAGTGTCTCTGCAATTAAATAATTTTGAAAAGTGGACTTTTACATTTTTCACATAAAATACTTCTAAGGGACTGTTAACATAATTTTCACAACGTATGTCAACAACAGTACATTTTATCACCTGTGCCTTGGTAAATTTAGCTCACAGATAAATACCAACTAACAGAAAGTAAAGTGAAGCCAAGACAAATGCCACCCTAGAACTATAGTGATAAGTATTCATACAACTTTGGAGCTACAACTTTGGAGCTACAACTTTGGAGCAACAGTTCCCAACTTCTGAATTCAGGTTGTATCCTAAAGGTGTCCCTTGGTACCAAGCTTTCACGGGTATCATCTACACGTGTTTCTAAACAGCTCTTTCAGGTTGAGATTTCCTGGTCTTAGACATGCTTTCTTCACATTCTTTTTGGTCTACAGCAATCTAATATACACTGGCACAAAATCATAATCTCAAAGTGAACTTCAATGAGTTGAGAAAACCATGGTTTGTTGCCCTCAGCATCAACAGCATCAGTTACAACTCCCTATTCTGATAAAATTGTATTTGGCTGATGACAAGTCTTTAATGTTGTGTTCTGAATCTGAAGTGTTATGCTAGTGACCTGAAAGTTGCATAGTGACGCATCATCAGATTCGACGATGACTGTATGACAAAGACTGAGTTCAGCTCATTTTTAAGATTTACAAGCTTTCTGGTGAAATAAAGGTGTTAATAATAAACACACTCCCTATGGTAGTATCTTAGAAAACATGAACCCACACAGACTAGTGTAAAGATCAGTATTTTTCTACAAAGGCCTTTCAATAATGAGCTGGTAGGGACAGGCGTTATGTGAATTTCATTTTAACAACAATATCTATTTTACAAAACATTACTCTTCAACAAGTCGCAGGTAGGTTTCCTGTATCAGACAGCTGGTTCTTTGCACGTTTTCTGCAATATCAAGCAGGCCATCAATACTCACTGATTCCTCAAAATGGAAGCACCAATAACTCTGGACAAGGCATGATTTTTCTTTAAACAGTGTTACGAAGTATGACTAATAAGATTTGCTCAAATCTACAGGGAGACTTGCACATCAGTAGTTTTTTTTCTCCTAGGCCCATCGTTTCAATGTGAGGAGTAAGCTAATTGCCCTTAACTCCATTCTAGGTAAGTCAAGGTAGCTATGGACTACTACTCAACTTCAAGATTGTCCAGGTGCGGTGTTCTATCTACAAACACTATGCTCAGCCAGACACTGGACTTGCATTTTTTTTACATATATATACGTATATATATATATAATTTTTGTTAACACTTACCTTCTACTTCTGTGTCTGTCTGAGAATTGCTTTTTCCTTTACCCAAAGACTTGCTTTTGGTAGAACCTGTGCTTATACCAGCTGCATCCTGTCCTTTCGTAAGTCCATTATGTTCATTTGTAGGAGAAGGACATTTCTGAGGAGATGATGGAGGACTGTTTAACTTATCCTTCTGAGTTCCATGCCGATCTTTTAATTTTTTTTGTAGCCTTTCGTATGTTTTACTAGACCTTTCATCTCTAAAGTTGGATCTTCCATGAGCAGGCAGAGTATCTAAATGAAAGAAAAAAAAATTAAAAATAACCACAAAGAACAGAACGTAATTAAAAATCTATTTAAAAATGCTATATGTGTTACTTGTGTGTAAAATTACACCCCTACTCCTATTGGAAAACTGAAGTGTCCAGCAGGTAAACTAATATACACTAATTGGACACTAACAACATGTTATGGGAGAAAGTGTAATCTTTCCTTCCCACATCTTTTTTTTTACTTAAAAATTATTCTTAAAATGTTTCTATAATCTTCCTTGAGCAGTAAGGTACAGGATAAAGTCGACACAGAAAAAACTGTGCTACTCTGTTACATGGGAACAGGGAAAAGCCCCATAAAAGCATATGGCAACTGAAAGACACTTAAAACACTGAAGATATCATGGCTAGGCCTTGTAAGTACACAAGAACTGTAAAGAGTAACCCACGGCATTGCTGCAGTATCACCCAAGTCCCATCTCTAAGCCAAAAGGTAGCTTTGGAAAAAAGCCAGTACCAGATGAAAAAAAACTAAACTGCAGATTGGTGAACCTTTCTGTCAGATTCTAACATTTTTAGACATTTCACCTTATGCTTAGAAACAGCTTATTGACTCAAGACTTTAAACCAATGCACCACATGGCACCAATTCTTTCCTCAGTGTAACTCTGTATATGATAAATGATGAAAGCTTTCAAAAATACACATCCTTCAAAACCAGCATAGGATTTGTCCATTTTCATGTAAGTCGGACCACTTGGTCTGAAGAATAAAGTTCATTATTTTTTATTCCTTATGTGCTAGGAAGTAAAGAAAACCAGATCAAATAAAAACTTCCTTGCAAGAAGAATAAAATAAAAAAACTAGAGAACTTTTCAGTTTCTGGGTTTTTTTTTTAGGACAGCTTACTTCCCAGAAAATTTGACAGAGGACTACTAGATAAGCTGTGACTATTTAGAAATTTGATTTTCACTGCCATTAGAAACTTAGGTGCTTTTCTCAGAGAACCACTATGCTCTAAGCACTTCTGGGTTTTTTCCCCCCCTTAAATTCAGATTCTTCATATAGGAGCCTAACTGTGGGCTTTGACTTCTGAAAGCCATAGCCAAAGTCAGTTGTCCAGAATTAAATATAAAATCTGTAGCAAATATGTAAAAAATTTAAAGCATTCCTAGTCCTCTAAATTCCCTAAATCCAAGGGTATCTCACATATGTATTTAAAACAAAGCAAAACCAAAGAATCCCACTTTATCAATTTTTTTGTTACATTAGCAGTTTAGCAGATTATCACTGAATTCATATTTAAAGAGATACAACATAGCAGCAAAAATCTAAAAAAAAATGTTCCATTAAGAAGTATCCTCTACCTTTTATGCATTTAATTATCATATTCCAATCTCTTAATTTAGCAAACTAAAAGCAAACAATTGCCATCTACAGGAAACTAATAAATTAATAAAACTATAAATAAACACCCAAAGAGCATCTAATAATGTACTGTTATCAAAGTAGTGCAAGGAAGAAATAAAGGACAACTTAAGAACACAGAAACACTATGAAATCCAGGAAGATCAAGACATCGATATATTCGTATCTGATGGCTTTGTACATCATGACTATTTAAGCACAGTGACTATATGGGGGACATTTTAAAGTTATTTTAGTACTATCACAGAACACTGAGAATCAACACAGCTTTGTCTTGTTGCTGTAGATGCGTATAGTCTCTCCCTCTGTAGCTTCTAGCTTCTTTGTCTAAAACCAGCAACCTGGCACTGCTCTCTGAAAGTCTTTCAAGGTCAGCACTTGCTTTATAGCAGAGGTTTATCTAAAGAAAAGCAAGCCTACCAGAAATGTAAATATTAATCTAAGAACCCAACCCCTGAGTTAGCAGACACATACACTTTGTCACTAAACCGTATTAAAGGCAGATGTCAATAGCACTACCAAAGACAATTTCATCTACAGTATTAAGCTTAGGCCAGTGGCACCTGGTTACTCAAGCTGGACTTCAATACAGACATTGGACTAAATGCACGGAGTTTTATGAAAAAAAAAGATTGCTATTTTTCATAATCAATACTAAGAACTTCTGTTTCATGCTTCAAACAGGTAACCTGCAAGACACAATGCATCTCAGAGCAGTGCTCAGGCATGGATTTAAAATGTTTAATCTCAGGGGAAGGCACCTACTGAATCATTACAAACACTTCCTGTATTGCTTTCCTGGGCAAAACTGTAACTTATACACATAAGAAATAATCTGTCTGTTTAATGGATCACTGAACAGACAAGTCAAATTAATGAAAAGAACTTCTCCTGGAATAATCAACTTCAGTAAAAACAAGCCTGGTGTCTTCATAAAACTTCCGTGTATAGCTCCCATTCAAGCTGTAAGTCTTCCTTAGTAATGTCCGTACATCAGCAGAACAGATGCGGGAAATGAGTAGAGTATTATTTCCTTTGATAGAACTTACAACATTTGATAAGCTACTTACCCAGATCACCATATACTTGTGAAGTGTGATACTGTGGAATGTACTGTGTTGCCATGTCACCAGCTCCGGTCACGGGTGAGTATATATGACGTGGTGGAGGGGGTATCATGGCTGGAAGAGGAAGGAAGCCAGGCAGTGGGGGATGCGGAGGCCTGTGTAACACTGCGTGACCACCAGGATGAAATTCTGGAGCCTGGGGAACCACCACAACCCTTCGAACACCGTTATCCTCAATAACCTGTACAATGAGAGATACCATGGACCAAAACCAAAAAGAAATGCTTAGTAACAAGCAAAAGAATGAATGTGTTTGGAATGACAGTCTGAAAGGTATGTTTCTATAGATAAACAAAACTAGCTATGGTAAAACCCTTAAACTTGAGAAAATGAAAACACGAGAGCCTAAGAAAAACCAGGACAATTAAAGGGCAATTTATGTTCTTTTCAAGTGTATTAACTGCAATAATGCAAATAATTTCTCAATGTGATGGGGGAAAATACTGTTAAAAAAATCTGAATGTAACAACATCTTATTAACAAGCAGGTATATTTACAGTATGAGCCTAACTTCTCCCCAGGGTTCTGTTTCCACTGTCATTCACATTGCTTATATGCTACGCTGATCCTATGTGTTGTTTTACAGTATAACAACTAGATTGCTCCCTAGAAGTGATTTGGTGGGTGGACCGACCTCACTCCACATAAATGGTGAGAGACAAGGCACAACAGTGTCTGGTCTTTGCTCTGTGCCCTCACTCCACCAATACAAACCCAGGAGGCACTTGCCATACTGCACCTGTCAGCATGCAGCAGCCACCATCTGCATCAAGCTGTTAAAGCAAAAAAACCTATCAGGATGGTAGTCAGCCCTCCCAAGACTCCTTCACAACTCAAGGTAGTTTTTAAAAAGATTTTTTTTTTTCCTTCCCTTCTCCTCCTGAAAATGTCTTGCACCCTGAAGGAAACCACATGCTACTCAGAAGACAAGGGCCTTCGTAGTAGCCTCTGCCAGAGTCTGGTTTGCAAAGCAGCTTGTGCAAAAATGGCAAATGGGAGAGGTGACAGGACAGCCCTGTGCTGTGGGACCCGAGTGCAGCCTTTAGCAATATTGCTACAAGCTCAATGAAACAAAAGCAGCATATGCAATCCCATGATGAGAACAAGTTGTGCTGTGCATGGTACACGTAGCATGTCTGGGGTCTGTAGCATGTAGGGCTCCCGTGAAGAGCAGGCACAAAAGCACATTTTGTAGAAGTACTGAAGCAGAAAATACTCTTCACTATACGAGGGTAGGTCACCAACTGGACCAGAAACAGGGTCCCTACCTGAAGAACACAGACAGGGAAGACTGTCATCATGATCCTCTCTAGATGTTTATATCACTAGTGGCAAATTCAGAAAAATACACAAGTGTTGGTTATACCTAGAAATGATCTTGGCATAATTTGATTTGCATGTATCGTGGTGTCAATAACTTCAGTGCCTGGAATGCCCAAAATGCTGTAAAATAATGACACAGCATGGACTGCAATCTAAGTTTTTGGATGAAACATTTATCTAGAAAAGGGGGAGAGGAAAGGAATCTGGAATATCATGACTACCTTCAATAGCAGGGGACAAGGCAACCCTATGACATAAGTTTTCACTGACTTTTGAAACGAGGTGGTGACATGCGTACATACACCAATGAGTAACCTGATGCAACATGAACAGATCAATAGATCAAAACCCTTAGTGCCAAGCTGCTTTCAAGTCCACTGTTTAAGCTTAAGGGTATTATGCTTGGTTAGATTTAGTCCCATGCCCTGGTGCGAACACTTCCACCAAGTCTATGACAGAAAGCTGCTTCCAGGATCAATCATTGGTTTTACCACGTCTTCATTAGGGGTTGGCGTGCATTTGGTACCTCTGCAATGGAGCTTCTGCTTTCGTTTTCTCTGACAGCAATGTAATTTGTACACCCAAAAATAATCCTCCTAGCTGAACCAATGCAAGGTAAGTGAGGTTGCTCTATGAAATTGTTTTGAAACTTCACTACTGTACTGAGAAAGACAGTTATGTAGAGAGGGATGTATGCTTCTGGTGTAATGGTAGAATGAAGATCTCTATGCATGTGCAATAACATTCAGAAGACATAAAAGTGTGCACACAATGGAGCCAATCCCACCCTACTTACATAAATAGAGAGATGGACATTAATATAAATGACCTAAATGAACACAGCTTTAAAATACAAACATGCCATGTGACTTTAAAAAATGGGATTATTTTCAGTATACAGAAATTGTCCCTTACTGGGAAAGAG